GTCCCCCCCTGATATAACACAAACAGCATGTTACCCTACCTTACAGTCTCCCCCTCATATAACACAAACAGCATGTTACCCTACCTTACAGTCTCCCCCTCATATAACACAAACAGCATGTTACCCTACCTTACAGACTGTCTCCCCCTCATATAACACAAACAGCATGCTCACAGCCCTGCATTAAACGTACACAGCTGGCCATCCTAGCTTGTAGCCTCCACCTTTACTAAATTCAGAAAGCTGTCTAACCTACCTCATTCACAGCCCACACCTATATTAAACCAAGATTGCCTGCCATACAAGCATACAGCATTTATCTCTACTCCACGAGCAAAGGCACGTCACAGCCGCCTCCTCCTCCTTCCCCCCTCACCTCCCCCTCCCCTCCCCTCCTCCTCCTCCTCCTCACACACCTGGTACTCATCCTCTAGCTCCTCGATCTGCATGCGCTGCTCCTCGACCCTGTCCTCCAGCGTGCGGCGCGCCTTCTCCAGCTCGTGGATGTTCTTGCCGACGTCGTCCTTGTTCGCCATCAGGTCGTCGAGTTCGGACATCTGTGATTTGCGCAGCCGCTCAACCTCATCCAAACGATTCTGCAGCTCCTCCTGCTCACGCTGCAGCGACAGCACCTGCAAGCAGAGTTCGAGATTCGATTGATGATCGAGTTCTCCAAAGCGTAAAATTTCCGTTTTCCGCTGAGTACGCGATTTTATGCAAAAACAATTGTAGTGCGTCGTAACGTCTAATCGGTGATTACTCCGATTAGACTTCAAGACAAGACAGGCACGAGGCAATTCATAAGACAGCATCAGCAACACACACACATGATACACTTTTTTTTATAGCCAAAACAACATTTATCCTTTGTATCTTCTGTTGTCTGTCACCAGTTGACATTGTATTCTCTACTGCACGTGTCTGTCACCAGATGGCACTGTGTTTGCTAACGTTTGCGTCGCGGTGTCTTCGCTCACCTTCGTTTCACGGTCGCGCAGCTCGCGGTCACGGTCGTCGCGCTCATGCACCAGGCGCTCGCTGATCGCCTTCTCCTCCGCCAGCATCTGATCAAACTTGCGCTGCCGTTTCTCCAGGTTGCTGATCTTCGAGCGGTCGCTCTCCACCGACAGATTCAGGTCATCAAACTACGAGTGAGTGAGCAAGAGGCATTAGCACACTGGTTGTTGGTTCCCTAAACTACTTGTTAAACAAGCGTTAGAATCACATCATGAATGTGTGAGACTAGGCCTACATCAGAACTATTGGTTTAACATTTCCCTCAAACACTCCTTATACACTCGCAACAAAGGTAAAACCTTTGAGACTAGGCCTAAAAAGATTCGCTTAAATTTCAGTGTCACCGAATAGCTTCATGTGCTAGTATTATCTTGTTATCAACCGATATCAATGTTACTGACTAAATATCCATCCTCTTCACATCAACTAGCACATTGCATCACCATTTCTACTATCTACTACATAAGAAAGTTGCAAAGTCGCATCCTCAGCATCATAATGCAAATAGGAAGAGCATCTATCCCCCTAGGGGACATCGTCTTCCCTTACATCCTGCATGAGCACCTGCTACTGCTCACCTCCTGCTGCAGCTTTTTCTTCGACTTCTCCTGCTTCTCGCTGACAGCGCGTAGATGCTCGTTCTCCTGCATGAGAGCCTCGATATCGCGTGCTGCTTTCTTCTTCAGCTCGTCCAGCTCCTCCATCGTCGCACCACTCTCATCCACCTTCTTCTTATACTCGGCCAGCTGATAGAGGGAATTAGAGGTTCAAGGCACACCATATGCAGTTCTACACAACCATAGAGTCAGCAAGATCTAAGCAACTCTAGCTTTAGTAAAAGATTAAAATCTCTGGCCACAGAAAAAGCAAGAGCTGCTATAAGCTTAACCCTTTGACTGCCAGCATTGTTTTTGAAAAACAATGGAAATGAAGCGTTTTCTGTCTCTTGCACTATAGATTATGGTATTTTTGCTATAGTTACAAAAGTTAGGACAAAAGGTAGTTTGAAATGATCCAACAATACTGATAGGGGCAAATGTGAATCAGTTGTTGTCAGATAAGTGTCATAACAAAAACACAATAATAAAAGTAACAAACAGTATTTTATACAGGCGAATATTCATGAATGACTACATAAAATCGTCACAATACTAACACTGTGTTTCATCTAATCGCAGCGCCCAGGCTGTCCCTGGCCAAACGATGCCCAGCACTCAGTGGACACAGCCTTTTTGCACATTTGGGCAACTCCAAACTGTGTTCTTTGCCGTCTCTACTTTTTGTTCTCCCTTTGCGCACTGCTCACACCGCCCCAACCTTTGATCCCAAAACGTACGTAAACACACGGCACGTTTAGTCCACTTGGGTGAGTGACACAATTGGAGTAACTGTTTTGCCCAATTGCTTTCTGCTAGTAAAAAATATTTACTAGCTGGTCAATAGTTTCACAGCGAAGTTACTGTTTTGTGACGACTACAACACGGGATGCCAAAGTAAGTACGGTAACTATGGAGGTAGATGTGAATGAGTTTGTCACTGCAAGTCCACAAAGTGATATAAAAGCTCAGCCACCAGCGTTAGACTTGCGACGAGTAGCCATAAGCAGCCTTCATCTTGGTTACCAAGCAGGTCTACACCACCGGCATGTAATGTTTACTGGCAGATACCAATCTGTGGACTGACTCACTGAATCACGGCTACCTCATGGGTCCTCGTTTTGACATGCGTTATAATCGTCACTGACTATCATTATCACCACATTGTGAGTACTGTCACTGAATCAACTCAATCACCCTCATCAATTTGTCTGTCGGGTTACTAGGCATGTTTGGCGCACTGTCCTACTATCCTCCAGCCACAGTCGGATTCAAACCGTGTCACTTGATTTCCATTATCGGAACATTAATTTGTAAGGATCAAATATGCCCAAATGTCGAAAATATCTCTGTGGCCTAGTTCCATAAAACATACCAACATTCCATAACTGCAGTAAACAAAAAAATCCGAAGAAACAGCAAAATAAACCAGGGAAATTTCGCGAAAACTGTTGAGAGAACAAAGCTGCAGGATATGACGTCAAAACTGCACTGAATTGAGCGTTTTATTCAAGAGAAAATACCGGAAGTAAAAACCGCGGGATATCCCGCGGTTGGCAGTCAAAGGGTTAATGTTAACTTTGCTTTGGAATTGAATGTTGTCTAGATATGAACAATTCACCTGCTATAGACATCTCGACCCCAACCTATCTATCTCCCTCTTCCTCTGGTCTTCCTTCAACAGCTCCTTCTGGCCTTCCATTGCTGTCTTCATTTCCTTCTAGCCCTCCGTCGCCATCTCCCTCCTATCTCAAGCCTTCTCTTACCACCTCTCTCTCCTTCTGGTCTTCCCTTCCCACCTCCCTCCCCCTCGGGCTCTCCCACTCTCACCTGCTGGCTCATGTTGGCCATATGACGCTCGAGACTGGCCTTGTGCTCCTCCTCCTCATCCAGCTGTTCCTGCAGTGCTTCACGATTCGCTTCGGCCTGCCGCATACGCGCCTGGATTGCCAGCTTCTGCTTAGACTCTTCTGCGGTCGACTCCTACAAATCCCAATCACACGGTAGTAGTGTGTGGTGTGTGTGCATGTGTGAACATGTTGTGAGTTCGTGTGCGCACGTGTGTTTGCGAGTACGGATGAGCATGTGCGTGTGTAGGTTAGGAAACCTATTACTAATTGTTATAAATATAATTGTCTGTGATTGTTGCATGCTTTCGACTTGATCATGTGTAGCCACGCAATCAGCACCACCTACCTGTGCATCGGTCAGTTGAAATTCGAGGGCGCTCAGCTCCTTGGCAAGCCTACTGGCCTTGCTCTCTGCTTCCTCAAACTGTGTGGTAACAGCTTCTAGCTCATTCTAGAAAAGACATGTGGAAAATTAACTCTAGTTTTCCATTTATAAATTACAGATTACACCAGAAAAAATTACAATGAGTATAATTTGTCAGGTTAAGGTACATAAAGTCCAAAAATCTGGACTGCTCGAGGATTGGTCGGTCTGGATTTTCCGGATTCTCGGGCAGTACTTTTAAAATTCAAATTTCAGGAGGAATAAGGAAGAGATGAACTGGTAAATTTCGATAGTTTATTCATTAGCAAATACAGTATGCTTCATTTATCAAAATGAGCAGGTTTTAAGTAAAATAAAGTCAACTTGACAAAAATGTAAATGTAAAAAAATTTCACTCTCAAAAGAGTAATGCTTGAAATGTTTAAAAATGAACATTGTAAAAGAAAAATACAGTAAACAAATGAAAGCAGAAGTTATATTATACAAATTAATTATTTATTTTTAGTTTATTAAACAGAGAGTTAAATTTGAGTTTTCGTTTGAAGTCCGGATTCTCGGGTGGTGCGGATTTCTGGCATCCGGATTTTTGGACTTCCACTGTATAACACTAAATATTACACCAAAATTCTTTCGTGTCGTGAAAATTCCATTGAAAATGGCAACCACTAGACAAAAGTGCATCTCGTTGATTGACGTAGTGGTTCTAGACTGGTACAACATCTCTATTACTTAGTGTAAGTTATAATTAACTACGTGTAGGAACAGTCTCGCGAGAAACAAGTGGCATAATCATGTAACCATGTCAACAAGAAGTCAACAAAGAAATTCCAATTGTTCCAGATTTGGTGAAAGTAATAATGTATAAGTGCTCTAAGACATATTAGCCTTACTGTAGACACTTGCTGTTACAAAAGCAATATTACCAGTAATCATAGTAATGGTCAGAAAGACTGTTTGAAATCGTCACTCTAAAACATACGTATATGCTAAATTTACATAATTTGGTTTGTAATTTGAATTGCACTCTTGGAAAATTATCTGACCAAATAGTACTTAATTAATCACAATACTAAATTAAATACTCCCCAAAACAATCAGTTTAATTTCCGACCACACCTATCTGGTAGCAAATCGCTATCGTTCATGTGTCCATGGATGTCCTCATCACGTGCACGTCTTCCTCCCCCGCACGCACCCCTCCCCTCCCTTCCCCCGCACGCACCCCTCCCCTCCTTTCCCCCGCACACACCCCTCCCCTCCCCTCCCCTG